AATGCACCAAATGCACACCCGCCACGCTTCTGCACGCTTTAGTGCATAAAGCCCTGAAGGTCATCCGTTTGACGCCGCAATCGACCACTGGAACCTGCTGGATCGCCCGCTTGTTCTGCTGTGCAACACGATGCAAGCCTCTTCCGCCCCTTACCCAGCTGCCCAGGTGCCAGGTAACTACGAGCTCGCCCTGCCTGTCAGACTTACCTACCAGCCTACCTGTGTTGGTTCCTGGCGGGGACAATGTTCTAGATGCCTCGCCAATTAGCATGTCCAACATCTGGATGTAACATTGGAAGCGAGTAACCTTTTTTTATTTATTTCTTATCCCCAGACCTTAAAATGCATGTATTATTAATAATTGTTTAGGTATGTTTGTCTTTTTGTCTCCGGCGCGAATGACGTATCTTTTTGGTTTGGTCATAATTGCATGGACGAAACGTAAAAAAATACAAATTCACCTTCTCCTCTTGATACATGTATTTTTTATTGGATTTTATTGGATACGTTGACTTGCATCGGCTAGTTGATATTAAAGCCTGATGCTTTTATGCTTTTTCCAGCCTAGCCGACTAACCAATCTCTTTTTTATCTCTTGTGCAGTAGACACTACCTACATACAGTACAGTACCGTAGACACACCCCCATGCTCGAATTAACCCCCCAACTTAGCTACGTCACTTATATGTGGCCATGACCTGACGATCCTTTCTAGAACCCCACTTTACCCCTCAACTACAAGAAGAGCCTCTCACAACAGTTTCTTCTTACAGCTAAGATATATGCACCGTACGTGTAAGTCTATATTTGGTGATTCTCCGCTACTGATACATACATTTCTTTTTTGGCGTCGCAACTTACAGCAGGCTTATAGCAAGTGGCACTGCTACCTACGATCCCTTGCCGTGTGATCATGGGGTGCAGCTCACATGGTCTCTAAATTGCCAATTACCTGGTTATTTCCTATCCTAGCCGTCTGCATCTCTTGTCGGGCATTGCATTGATTGTTTAGAACTTTCTATTGCATATATCTACATGTTTAATGGTGGGATAGTGTTCCTGGATGTTACCCCCCCAACTGCACGTCAACTTGTAATGTGGGGATCTTCTTCCCCGTGCTACCCCTAATGCACCTCTGCGCAACCTGATATTCAAAAGGGGTTCCCTCAATTCCTCGCCCGCTCGTTCCAGCTTTCATCTACGCATTTTCTTATTTATTTTTTTGCGTCGACTTGATTATTTTTCTTTGCCGCGATATCCCTCGTTGCAGATCTGAACGGCGAAGTTTCAAAAATCACAGAATTAAAATCCGGTGGGCATAGTCATGCTAATTCGTGTATTCAATCAATATCGTAAGTTGTAAAGTTTGCTAGAATCCATGAATACGGCCGTGTCCAATTCTGCTATGAGCTACTGTTTGTGTGAAACTCAATCGTGCTTAAGCCGATGTTGGGACGGTGACACGCGTCCGCAAGGGAGGAAGTACAATTCCTACAGGACTAGCCTTCTAATTCTATGTAGTAATCACGTCTAAGCAAATTTCTAACTCATACAAGCTCCGTTTTCGTCTTCAAGTAGCTATAAAACATTTTCATTCATCTTGCTACGAAGATGGCTAATTCTAAAAGCTCCCAGTTAACTCTGGATCGAACAGGACTATTCCAAACTTCTGGCCTAAAGTCCAACTTAGAGTATTAACATAAGCAGCTTTTGATTCCACACAATATAGCACATCTAAATATACCTAAGGCACCTTCTATTCTTTTGGATTTCATGTAGTTTATATTAGTATGCATCATGTACTATATCGGCCTGCGGAGTAGCACAGCGAAGCGGTCTGTCTTCCGGGCTTCGTCTACGCATTGTCTTAGCCTGTGTATCACAAAGCACACATTCCGTCTCTACCCTTTAAAACATGTTCTGTCGTTCCAGTTTCAGCTGTCAACTTGTAAATTGACGCAAAATATGATGAATCAACTCGGCGTGGTATGACATGGCACTCTGTCTGGTTCTATGGTTAATTGTATGCCACATGTTTGGCACTAGGTTCGCAATATTTAGCTGTAGACCCGGGGAAAGCTCAGCAAAGTCTGGAGGTTTCATTCGAAGAGGGGGGACGCATGATGTTACGTATTTCTTCACCTCCATTCTGATGATTCCACAGCTACACATACGTCAGAGGAGTAATCCACATATGGTCACCCCGATGTAGATGCTGGCAATAGGTCCCCAAGGTGGAGGGTATGGGGAAATCCCGTGAAATGATACGGCGGTACATCGGCCTACCTCCGCCAGCTCTCCGCACCAAACCAGTAAGGGTACCTACCTAGGTAAGCAAGTGTTACGATCCAATACCCATTGGCCCCCAAGTATGGAGTTCTCGGCCCCAATTGATACGAGTTTCAGGGGTAGGTAACGCGGAATGTTACTTAACTACCTATAATATAGTGTTCTTTTACTAGTTACCTGCCTATTGCTCTATACAAATCGTGTGCGAATGCCATTCGGTTATGCTGTTGGGAGAATTCAAGAATTGGCTTATTTCTTGCTCACCGCCTCTTGGGAAATCCTCGCTCTCTAGGGAATGTGGTTGAGGATATTACTATGCTCATAAGGTAACGGTTGCCATGAGCAGCTGAGCTATGTAATCGACATCTGTAGATTCGCCAATCTCCTGCTTGCCTTACAATGCCGAGTCTTGCCATGAGGGATCCATGGGTTTGGTCGGGCCATTTGGGCTTCAATGACCTACTTCCATGCGTCCGAATAATTATTGTGGTCCAACATTGATCTTGTTACCATCCCATTCATAACCTCTGATGCAATACCGATTTCTATACTGGACACCTGATCATCAAGTGGATTAAGTGCACCTCATCTGGGAGAATGCACATTCTACTATGTCGTCGCATCCCCGAAACTTGCCGTTTCAAAAACTAGTATGTACAACCAGGTTTTCTATCAAGACAGCAATCACTTGGATAGATATTAGACATAAACGCACTACATTAAGTGTCTGTATTGCACGGTAACTTGGAGGATGAGCCCGAATGCATTCATGTAGAAGACTAAGATGTCCTTTTGCTTTATAAAAGGGCTTATTTCTAGTGTAGTGCATAATAAGTTCTCTAACCATACGTGTCATTTATGGTGACGGATTTCATAAATCGCTTTAATTTAGGAGTAGTTTCTATTTAGTCCTACACTATATGTTACACAAAGTAAGGACGAAACCCCAAAGTTATCTCTTACTACTATAATCATTATATGTGACTAGATCCTTAATATATTATGTAATTACCCACGCTTTAAAAAAACATGTTTTATATGTTTAATAATCTAAACACTTACTCACTTTATTTTTTGCTGGTTTTATGTTTAACAGCTTTTTAACTCTGGGTAAGTTGAGAACTCACGTTCATTCTAAGACATTTGCGGATAACCTAAGAGTTCACGTAAGAATACTTAACCTATATGATCGCTTAATATGTATTGTTTACTTTAGTGAGATTGGTTCGCTAGAATTAAGTCTGGAGAAGGAGTTGTACCTCATTGGTTCGGCTATTTCAACCCCCATGGTAGTCTCAGCTGGGAGTAGGTTTCGAGATCCTTTGGGCGACAAGGCTAATCTCTACCTAGGTAGGTTTAGGATGAGGCTCTAAGAATAATCAACGACATGGAATGTTCCTATAATTAAGAAGCGCAGGGAGTTGATATATACATCTTAGTGGAGAGGTACCCCTTAAATGGGCCATAAACCCCCCTTTTTTCTCGTATGCCCCGGAATTCCAACGTCAACTAACCTACAGTTAGGCTTAATTGATGGCAATCAGAAGAAAAATGAATATAGATGAAGCGACATGTGAATGAAAGATATTTATAAATCAAGGTGCATGAAAATAGATGACAACCGAAATACCCGACCACCTAAGCGAATGTAAGAGAAACGTCATCACTGCAGGATTCGTTCCCGCGCTCGGCACTGCAGTAAGCAGCGACAAGAACGAATCATCAGCCTAAAAATGGACTAGAGTGTTTATCTTGATAGTCACTTTTAAGGTGTCGGCGGCATAGCGGTAAGTCGCCTTCTCATGGGGGGTCTAATGTCAGATAGGTACGCCGTAGAAGGAAAGACAGTAATTCAAAATTATGTCGTAGATTCTCGCTGAAGATTCTGTAGGGATTTAGGTGATCTCGGAGGAGCTTATGGGATTTAATAGCAAGGCTCCGAGCGGATGTTCCTGACGCGGTTGGCACTGCGCTTGATACATCGGGTCTGGTCGGGTTGAAGCTAAGTTCGAGAAACAATGCCAGATTGAGTCTTGTAGAGAAGAATGATCTTCGCAAGAATGAGGTACTTCCGCTTCCTTTCCACTACCGAAGATTCTATGTCCTTTCTAAGCTGGAAGGATCCTGATCCCGCGCCCCTTGCGTTCCGTCCATTCCCAGTCGCGGGATGGGAGGGGCATCAATTGAGCAAGACTTAACTACATTATCAGGCCCTCAAGACATTCAAGGAGGTCAAAGCTATAAACAATATGGATGCATTTCTCCGAAAGTTAGTTACATTTGCTATCCATGTTTGACTAATGGTAACTGTGTCTTAGTACTGCTTAGGGTGAGCCTACCACTACCTACTTACCCCCTGGATTTGGATGGAAATGAGGTAAAGAGGCAATCAGAAATTATCAAGTGAACGATATCCTTTTAATTGATCCCCTTTCTGGATTTATTAGAATTAGAATAACTAAGTGATTCATTCTGATTAGCTGAACCTTGAAACGATACAATTGGAAATGGGAACTAGCCAATAAGAGTCCGTTCTCAGTATCCTCCACTAGTAACAGTCCCTATTTAAACTCTTATAACACCGAAAAAGGACATCCCCATCAGAGGAAAAATCTAGCAGAGGAACTAGTAACGCCTAGTCTTCACCGCTAACACGATGTCAGCCCTCTAGTTGGCGCCGAAGAGAAGTCCGTTCTTCTCTTCGACACAAAGGCACTTTGGCGGAGTGGTTAACGCGATGCCCTGCTATGTATCGTGTGTCTCATCGACGATCCCTTCTGAGGCGGTCAAGAGACCCACGAGGTAGTGAAGGCATTCCCTTCGGGGGCGTGTGTTCGAATCACACAGGTGTCGCATCTCTTTTTTTGACCTTTGCATCATCGTGAAGTACGATCATTGTGCATTTTTATGCATTGCCGGAGCATGTGGGTTGAGTCATCTCGGTGTGATGCAAGGCGAGAGTCTAAGGAAGTAGGTACGTGTTTGCATGGTATAGAAACGACCACGTAACGTCTTTGTAGTATCAATTCTGCGAATGCGAATGCAAGTTTCGCTAAATTAATGATACCTTTGAAGCTTCATTATTATGTGCTCAAAAAAACGCCCACCTCTATACCGACCGACCACTCCAAAAGCCTGCGCTGAAGTTATATCATAGATGCCTTCCTACTCAATACACCCCGTATATCATTACAAGATACCCTCAATCCCATATTGGTGTCTATCTGCCGCGTTTGCAGCGTTCGGGTCATGGAATTCCGTCATTTCGAAGTGCGTGGTACGGTATATGACCGGCCCCGGGTGGTTGTGCGACAGCTGTTCTGTCGAGCTGGTAGGGTAAAGCCTGCTGCCGTTAACCCCTCTGAACTCCTGGCCAACACCCGACTCGCTATCCTTATGTCTCAAACGCCACCACGTATTTCCTACACCCTCATCGTCGTCGTTCCATCCTCGCAACTTCACCCTCCTCACGTATGATTTGACTAGCGACTTCACCTTGGCCTGGCTGGTGGGATCGCAGACTTTCATTAGTGCTGGTATACATATGACTAGAAACGCGCAGGTCACCTCGGCATTGCTGGTTAGCATCACCGAGGAGAAGGTGTAGGTGAAGTCGGGAGAACCGAAGCGTGCGATCGTTTCGACCAGACGAGCAAGGGCGGCTGCGATGCACAAGATGCCAACGGCAAAAGTCACCGAGATCTCAAGCTTTTTTCCATTCGACATGTGTAACTTCCATATGGCCTTCTGGGGAATAAGGAAGACTAGCACGTCTGTTACTAGGTTGAAGGTCGACGCCACAATACTTCCGATACCGCTATTGACGTGACCACAATCCCCGTATTGCGTTGGCTAGCAACCGACATTATAGCTGATGAGAATGGCCGCGCAGAACAGAATATTGGCCCAGATAAGGGAATGGCTTGCCCAGTAAAGGATATTGCGGATGCCTCTTGGAACGAAGATGTGAATCCATTCTAGCAAGATGGCCACCTTGATGAATGCGATGCTGAAAATGTACGGATTCGTCATAAAGTAAGAATCCTGCTATCTGTCAGGCGCCAGAGGTCACTAAATTTGATGGTGTCTGCATGACTTACCCAGACAAAAGTGTCAAGATCGGCCTTATGCATGTCCCATTGATGCACAAAAGCGCCAGGATGTATTGTCATGCGAAAAGACATGCCGGCGGTGATGATGCTGGCTGCCTATTGCAGAATGGTCAGCAGGTAGGTAGATTATCAGACACAGGCACCTTGCGCATCTTCAGCATCGCGACATACATATGTTACGATCAATATATCTGCTTTCAGTTAAAACGTCTCGCCCCAGCGAGAAATATCAACTCAGCTAACTTACAATCTGCCAGGAAGAGTTCTTTTAAGAAGAATCTCATGCATAACCTCCCGAAAACAGCAAAAGTGGATAATGCCAGACAGAGTCCAAGCACCGCATTGCTTTCGACATTGCGGTTTGGCGGATTATCAAAGTTCGGCGTGATTCCCAGAGGCGGTTCTAGAGCAGGTTGGTCTTGAACTTGTTCCCGTCGGCCTAAGTAGAGAGTAGTGAATTCGTCGAAAATCGGTGGAGGCATTGGTGGTGGCAGCGGCTATCAACTTTGGCCGGAAAACTACGATGATTTGAAGCCGGTTGACGGATAACCGATGAAAGGGTCCGGCAGTCAGCAGCCCATCGAAGAAGAGAGAGGAGGCTGGACATTATCAAGAGGCGACCGGAGCAATCTTACCTAAGGACCTTCTACATGATGTGGCTGCGTGCGATAGATTGCAATGTTAGGTGGTAGTGAAATACGCTGACTGCTGACCTCGGACGACCCGGTGTGCTACCAAGCATTGCGAGTTACACAAAAACAACCGGCAATTGAAATGCAGCCAACGATTTGCGAACTAAGCCTTACGACGACAATGCGACGTGCTATAGGTCCATATGTTGCAAATCAATCAGATGGCCCTTGGAATGGCCTATCACTCACTTAGAAGTGATATTCCATCATTATTGGACCGATGTTTATATAAGGCTGCTGCATCTGATGAAGGTATCGACGATGTGACAGTCCTTGAAAGTAACGATAGGAGAGGCGAATTGAATACGAGTTAATTGATGAACATAACGGAAACGAGGTAATTCGGATCTGTGTCTGCATGCAAAATGCATGAGAAAAATTAAATGAAAAAAAAAAAAAAAGAACGAAAAAAATCGAGCCGCTGCGAGATTCGAACTCACAGGCCAGCGGCGCATCAATCTAAAGGGGCGATCGCATAGGTCTAACAAGCAGATCGATGGTCTCCAGCCCCCTCTAGCATAGAAGGACTTGCCACTAGACCACACCAGTCCGACTTATTGGTTTGTACTGCAAGAACAATTCATATGTCTCTCTTCGTTGCCAGGTGTAAAGCAAGTCATTGGCTGCAGGGCCATTGAATGTCGATAGGGGGTTGCTACGGAGATTGTAGAAGTGTCTATCTAGGGTAATGCTGCTCAGACTTCGAACACCCCCTGAGTTGCGTGTTGGAGTCGAAGTCCACCCAGGACTAGAGGGAGATATTACACTATGCGAAGGCAAGTTATCGTCAATCTGGGATGCCTACGATTCTAGCTGATCTCAGAAACAATGGTCTTATCTGCGTGGTTTGAATGGATCTTCTCTCCATTGATTGATTCTACCATCGTATACCAGCCGAAGAGCACCAGACTGAATAGCCATTTTCAGTTCTCTCTAAGGAGTGTACATACCTACTTAGAGGAGATCCTTTATCAGTGCTCAATGAGAGTTCTTGTTTTCACGAGAAGCTTCATAGGTACCTACACAGTCATCAACGATGTGGTGAACGAAGTTGACTGACTCGGGATCTTCAAGGGGTCACAGCTTTGTTCATCAGGACGAGAGCACGATAGTTCCAGAGGTGAGGTATCAGGTGGAAGAACAACAAATTCATCCCAGAACACAAAAGGGAACAAGTTTGAAGGCACCGATTCATCTCTTTCAAAGCATCATGGTCATGGGCCAGCACTTCCCATCTACTTCCTCCCATAAGACGGAATAGAAGTAGCCTAAGTACCAAGTCACCACAACGAAGGCTACTTTACCGAATACTAGTGACTTAGGTTGATATTCTACGAATCCATAACCCTAGTGAGTTGGAACCTGCACCTCTTGCCATGCCAACAACCTAGGTACCTACCTACCCAGTTCTAACATTTCCTCCAGATACCATCCATCCTGAATTGCATCCCCCAAACACCAAACCGAAGCCATGAACTCGTCCATCTATTCGGACAGCCATACAGACCCCTTCGAAGCAATCGACACCCGCAAGCCCACAATCCGCCTCGTAATTTCCAAAGCGAACATGCGCGGCGAAGCCGAACCCGAGCCCGAAGAGGCTCTACCCCAGGTTCTACCTTCCCTAGACCCAGGTCTCCCGTCCTCTCCGTCCGCGAGAATCGGACTCGCAGCCATGGGCATCGAGACGCCGCCCGGCACTCCGGAGCCAGAGCCAGAGCCCGAGCCCGAGCCAGCCACCGAAGCGCCCCAACCCAAAGACAAGAAGAAGTGGTCGAAACGCAACATCTGGTCGTCCCTGCGAAACTTCGGTCGCCGATACAAGAACCAGATCCGCGAGCACACCAACACCAATACCAACACCAACGCCGCCGCAGCAGCAGCAGCAGCAGACACCACAAGCACCAGCCTAGGAGGAATCCTCGTGACCCAAGAAGTCAGCGTGACCTACGAGCGGCTGCCCAAGTCGTACTCGACGACCATCACCAGCAGCGGGCCCGCCGCCGGTGCCGGCAACAACAACAACAACAACAACTCCTTCTTCTCCTCGGCCGCCGCCGTAGCCCCTTAGGAAGGGGCGTCGACAACATCCTCGTTCTCCGCAGCCACATCATCCGCGACAGCCACCACAGCAGCACGCAATCGCAATCACAACCACGACCGCGGCGGGGAGGATGGACAGGCCGACTACGACCAGACCCTCGACACCATCTCCGAGCTTCCGGGTGCGGCGGACAGCGGCCACACCGAGAGCGGAAATAATGGTGGTGGTGGTGGTGGTAGCAGCAGCAGCAGAAGAGGAGGTGGTGGTATGAGAGCGACCGCGGGCCAGGGTTTGTCGAAGCTCGTGCGCTCGGCCAGCGCCGTCTTGCCCCCGCGAATGCGAAGCTTGCAGCGGCTGGATCGCGGCGATGTTAGTATGATGTGAGGAGGGGAGGGGAAAGTTACGCGAGTTATTGAGGTTTGTTACGAGGCTATGAAGTTATGAACGCGATTACGTTTTCGGAAGGTTTTCGAGACAGGAGGGATGGTAGTATGTATTAAGGGGATGCCAGCTTCTGGTTGAAGAAGCACGGTGTGCCCACGCATCAACGCATCTTATAAGTCTCGAGAAGAGGAGTTTAGCAGGACGGACAGGATTCGATTCTCGAAGAGTTTGTTGTTGGGGGATATACCCGCCGTGAGTTAGCCAGTCACGTTTGGCCTTCGCTGGCTTTTGCTGTTTCGAATCAAGATACCCTTTCCTTAGGTAGTATACAAAAATCATGGACTTTAGTTGTAGGAGGCACCTATGAAATGAAGCTTAATTTGCAACTCCAATATCAACCTGTCAATCAATTCAACTAATAACCAGTCCTACGTACCTAATGTGGTGATCTAGTCCAGTCCTTTAACCCTGATCTCCCATCCGGTCTATTTCTTCGCCAAAGCATCCTTGACAGCCTGGACCTCCTCATCCAAAGGTAAAATATCCGGTACGGGGCCCAGCGGGGTGATAGAGTGAGGATTGATCTGCGTGTGGCTACGAGTGTAATGGTTCTTGATGTGC